TATGCTTCCTGTTAAGCTTTTATGTTTAAAACACTGCGTTTAGTTTGCAGCAGTTCATCAGAGAAAAATAAAAAGTTACGGGGGAGGCACTCACCTTGTTGCCTGTCCCAGCACAGCAGATACCCAGGGCCATGGCAGCCCCACAGCGCACATGTGGGTTGTAGCTCTCTGACAAAAGAGACACCACACTGGGACACTGCTCAGGAGTCCTTAGAGAGACGGGGAGAAATTAAGAGCGAGTCAAGAATTGAAGTTAACCGGTAAACGACGAGTTGAGAAAAGGAGCACGAAGAATCTTTTGCTCTTTTCAAATGAAAAATGACAGCAGGTTGAGGAAAATGTCACCAACAAGTAAAGGTGATGCAATCAATTTCTGATATCCCAACTATTGTTTGTCTGTGGCACACGTGTGCAGGAAGCTTTTTACAAACTATGCCAGTGTTTTTCCATTAAGGACCTAGACTGTGGCGGTCTGCCACAGGTCTATTTTATCCCATCAGAGATTCAAGATGTCTACAGTTGTGGGTCACAACTGTAGACATCTTGAGGTGATGGGGAATGCTTGTATTGGCCATCTATCAAAAAGGATGGTATTTGCACCAATATGGTGCCATTTGTACAACATGGCACAAAGGGCTATGGACTAAATACCATAAAATTGTTTATGTCACAGGTGCATTTTGCATCTATAGAGTCCCTGTTATTAGAAAACGTGTAGAGAGAAGAGAAAAGTGGAACAGCATGGGTATGAAATGTGGGGCTTTGATTTATGTCCTTATTCATTTTCTGCCATTGGTGCAGCTGTGAAATAGAGAGAATATAATCAGTGAGCCAAACCATACTTAAGAATTCTTTCCACCTCTTCTACATTACAAAGTTTCTTTGTGGATGTTGGTTAAAATGTGCAAAGGAGTGGTCTACATTTATTTGTTTCCAAATGTTTATTACAAAAAAAATGTAATTGGAATATTCAAGATTTTGGGAATGTAGTAAAAAAAACAAAAGCACTAAATACGTTACTCATGCCTAACGTACTGTTGACTACATGACAAAAGCATTGAGAGTCAAAGTGTTGGCAGGAAAATACGCAATTATTCGACAATCCGGGTGAACTTGATGAGGTCTAAATGAGAGGCCAACGGTGCCGTTTGCTCTCCAGTCACAATGAAACACTCTGCAATCAGTACATGCCACATACATGCACCGCCTTGGTGATGAAAACTAATGTAGAGTCTCGTTGCATTAGATTTAGGTCACCAGGTGTGAATGCCAACTTTGCCAGGCATCAATATGGTGGTCTCCTGATCTCAACAAAAAGATTCATGAGATTAAATAGTAATGTTTAGTGTTGTGGGTATTTGTTGAATTGGTCCAACAGAGATACTTAAATTGAAATAAAGGGGCAAAAGGATGAGGCAATCAGTTTTATAACCAAGAATGCTATCTGACAATTTGCTTGTGAATGTAATTGCAAGCTATTATCACTAAAAATAAGAACAAAGTTTTGTAAGTCCAGTCAAGAAGCCAGCAACATAATCTCTGTGGTTTTACTTTCCACAATGTCACTTTGTGTAAACAGACCCAACAACACTTCCCTCCCACTGAGGAGGCTGCTGTAGTTTCTTACACATAACTAAACACTCATTGATCCAATAAAAGAAAGAAAAAGAACCAAGGCTACATCACCCGGCTGTACTTGGCCCTCAGCTTCTAAAACAGCTGGTTTGTGTTTCTGATTGATGATGCAGCGCTCAGCAATTAAATGGATAAAAACAGAAAACGATAAAGAAAACTAATAAATGAATACTAAAATAAATAATAACTGTGCTTAATACATTTGTCAGTTCATACGCTAAATGAAAGGACTTCTAGCATAGCTGCTTTTACTAGCTCAGATTTTATTAGACTGAACCAAATAAAACTTCAAACGCAAGTTAAGAAAGAGTATAAAACAAAAAAATTATTGCAATGGCTACAGCTACATTTCATTGAGCCCTAAATAGTGAAATACGAGAAGGTGACCAAGACGATCGAGTCCCTCTGTTTCCATTCAACACACCATTAATAGCTTTGCCTAAATGTACAATAAGGAGGGGAAAGGATTTGGGTTCAGCCTCCATTGATTTGAACCAATAAATAGCCTCAATAGATTCCTGTACATCGATATACTGTAGTGGCATGTTCTCCAAGTATAATCTCCACTAGTGTGTTAACAATTAAAAGCTCTACAGCAGGGGTCTTCAACATTTTTCAGGCCAAGGACCCCCAAACTGATAGAGAGATGGAGCAGGGACCCCCATGACTATATATATTGTATAAAAGGTGTTTTATATTAAATGGGCCTAGTACCGTGTATAAACATACCTCTTTATTGTGCATTCAATACTAAGCTATTCAAATAATACACAGGTTCATATGTTCATGTTTTTATTTTAAACATGTGCAAGGTACAGTGAGCAGGGAGGCCGTGCCACTGCCATTTATAAACAGACCTTGTCAGCTGATACCAATACCAATATCAACATTGTCTGTCAATTGCATGATAATCATGCATACAAGCTATTCAAATTGATGTTTTCATTTTAAACATAAATGTGGAAACGAAAAATTTGTGATGGCCTATTAGTGCCACTGCCATGCATAAAGATACCTGTTATCTTTCATACAATACTGAACTATTAAAATGGACAGATTCATGTTTAGAGAAAAAATAAATAAATAAATTCCAATCGTCTAATCAACCAAAATTTCGCAGACCCCCTGCAGTACATCCACGGACCCCCTGTTGAAGACCTCTGCTCTACGGGATAATCAAGATCACAAATGGCAATCATTGGGAGATCTAGATCATCTTTCAATTTCACCTTTGAGGCTACTTTATTCTATTGTGGTAGTCTGGTGATGCCCTTCAATCCATGCTTTGATACGGACCAGACTGTAAAACCTGTTAATTATAGGATGAAAAAGTATGAACCGGGCCATCAAAAGTTCAAGTTATTTTTTAGCTGACTACAGCAGCTTGAAGCACAATTTGCGAAAACTTTGCAGTGGCTTTTTCAAATTGTTTAATCTAAAGCCTTCTCAACCCTTTCAAAGTAAAAGATAAGCTAATTACCTTCAACAACCGGCAAAATGGAAGAACTCGGCTGGAGAGAAGAAATAAATATCCAGCATTTGTTTAGTTTGAAAGGGCAGTGAAGCAATGACATCTGTATTTCAAGCCCGACTTAAACATCCTCATGATGTGTAATGGATTTAAAAACCTCACAATGAACTGAACTACTTGAAAACTCAAAGAGGTGAGAAGAGAAACGATAATTAGAATAGATTACATGAAACGCTTGCGAAAGGCTTGCAAGCGCACTCGGCCTGCTGTGGACATTTAAATTTATTCTTTTGGAAACGAATAACCATTTCCTACACCACGACAATGAACCCTTCAGCAGTGTACAGTGCTCCTGTAATTTATTGGTCATGCGAGCCAATTCAGAAATATTTACTTAAAAAGGTTACAAAAATGCTCCAGGCTTTTACTTGACTGGTTAATGGACGGTATGCTTATATGTGCATGCCTCACATGTATAATGGTGAGTGACAGAGGCTGATACAGCTGCAACCTAATAACTCCATCTGCCCCGGGAAGTAACACACACATTGAGAGGTAGGCCAAAAAATAAAAAAGCCGGAATAAAGCTTAGCTCAACAAATTATAGGTTGATTTTGACACATAAAATGTGATTGTTCCAGTTACTAATGCACTCGAATTGTCAGAGAGCAGATCTCATGAGCTTGCTTCCTGTCGGTTACAACCAGTCACCCAAATACATTGTGAAAGTACCTGGACAATGTTGTGTTAACAAACAAAGAGGCTGCATGGCTTTTAGAATTCAATTTAAAAACAAGAGAAACAAAAAGGGAAACGAGAGAGAAGCCCTGGAAGTATCAACAACGGATCTATTTTTTTAATAATATTGACAATTTGCAAATTTCCAAAAGAACATATTACTAATAGAAATGTCACAACAACAGTAAGTGCTGATTGCTACAGCAGTTTGAAAGTGTAGATCTGTCAACTAAGGTTGCAATCTGAGTCAGTAAGGTTGGTTTTCATTCAAAAATGTGCCCGTGCGTCATGCATTTGATGTGGTGTGAGCTGAAGTCAGCATGCTGTTAGCAGCCCACCTTTAGCTGTACCTTGTATCATGAAAAAAATATATATCAAGAAGCTGTGGAGGTGGGCTGGGTGATGTTTCACAGTAGCCCCACCAGGTCAGCTCAAAGCGATCAAAAATTAAGACATGCACTCGCCTTCTTCTGACATTAGCGCTGCAGTAGAAACTCCTGGGACTGAACATACTAAACACATTTGAAATGGGTGAACAAAAGGAGCCCGAATGGGGTATTAGTACCATAAGCAAAGTAGGAGGCATGCTCACACTAAAACATTTGCTCTACTGCCGACTCTGTCCTGGGAGACCTCCGGGTACACAGATCTATGTGGGGAGTTATTGGCAGTATTTCACACATTTTCCTGAGAAGAATCATCATCTGGTTACTGTAAACCTCAGGCATATTTTATTACAACATCTTTGAACATTTTGCATCTCCTTTTAAAAGCAAAACATTGAGAACACATTTCAACAGGCAGAAAGAGCAGGAGGAACAACAAACGGGGTCTAAATTTCAAAAATGACTTCCCCGAGCTTAATGAGCGCACGCTGGATGAAATTAAAAAAAAAAAAAAAAAACCGCTATGGGGGTGCAAGTACAATTTTCAAGCACCTTACAACACAGAGGGCTTCTTCCAATACACCACTACTACATCCCCCCACCACTGCTCGCTTCAGATGGAGGACAGAACAGAAAGTGACAAATATAAACAGTGGGACGGCTGTGTTGAGGGAAATTACCTCCCAGAACCTCTGGCACACTGCCAGCACCAAGACATTCATCTGTTTTATACACAGTCCGACTCACAAGCTAGATAGAGGGGAGGGAGGGGGAGGAGTGAGAGAGCAAACGAGACGGGAGAGTGTGCGGGCGGATCGCAGGCTGTGAACGAGATGCAGCGAGTGGGAGAGAGACGAAGGAGCCACAACATCTGAAAGTTTTAAACCAATGATCGCGGTCGGTGATGCGAGGCAAGACTGGGGGTTCCTCCAACATGTGGAAGAAAAACAAATTCCACATCATGGACTGCTTCAGACAGAGACAGATTTAGGTTCCACCGCTGAGAGAGGGCATTCTCCGTCACGTTATTATTTTGGGGAGGGAGGAAATGTAAAGGCGAGATAGGGGGCTTTAAAAAAAGATATTAAAGTGAGGAGGCTACGGAGATTGAAATGCATCGGGGCCTCAAGCTGCACTGTTCTCCGAGAACTAAATATTGCTTTAGTGTTTATGAAAGTGAACACGTAGCGGCACGGAAAAATACTCGAGGAGTTACTCGACATCGACAAGGATTTAAATGAACATCAGCTGTTACTCAGGAGCAGGTAAGAAACCAAGCAAAATCATTTTAATGCTAATTGACAGTGTTTTCTTTTAATTATTGATCAAGTTTGATTCTTTGTCAACGCTTCCACGGCCAGTCGTGTGCACGTCTGTGTAGACTTGATACGTACAGAGTGATGCAAGCCGTGTACCTTGAATTTAAAGCTTCATGGAGATTTTTAATATCCGTTTTTATACATAAAAAAAACCTTCAATATCTCACATTATTGTACTAGTTTTATAAAAACAATGATTGCATTATTTTTTTACTTATCGTATGCATGTATAGAAACATGTTTCTATAGACATTTAAAGAATCTGTTCTTTATTTAAAAAAGAAACAGAAATTGCGAAAAGCCTTACAGCATTTTTCCGTATATTTTCCAACTCGTTTCCTAAAAATTGGTAAAGGAGTGGTGTGGAGTGTGGTGACCATTACCACAATATGGTAAAGACCCCCCTTCTCTCATCTTATAAACATCTCATTATACCACTATTCAGACAAATCAAAGCGAGCGGGTAACACGGTATCGCTGCTCCTTTAACAAATCTGTTTGTTCTTTTAAGTGGCACAGTGGACGACAAGAGCATCAACTCCCTGGGAAAGTGAGGACCCCCGCTAACGTCTCACCGCGGAAGTACTAATCGTGTCGGGATTATTGCCAGCATTGGAGTTTGAAGTGGAAACCCGTTTGTTTTTTTAATTCCCTCCAAACAGTGGATCCTCTACTGATTTTGAGCTACTTTCTTTTGGTTCGTCCAGTGCAACAGGGATGAAGCATCCTGTGCATTGACCCCGAGCCACCACGCCCCCCACACTGCGTCCTTGCCCGAGGGACACAGTGACCATGCTGACCGAGTGTCCAACACCAGAAGGATCAGAGCCCCGACCCGCGCTAAGGCCCGCTGCAGCACCATGTCTCAAGCAGTCGCATCTGAGCTCGAGGCTAACGGCTCACAGTCTGGAGGAGAAGCCGAGGTTAAGCTGAAATGGGCCGCCCTGCTCATCGTCATGGTCATAGTCCCCACTATCGGAGGGAACATCCTGGTCATTCTCGCCGTGTCACTTGAAAGAAAGCTGCAGAACGCCACTAACTACTTTCTAATGTCGCTTGCTGTGGCTGATCTGTTGGTGGGACTCCTCGTGATGCCCGTTGCCCTCCTCACTGTTCTCTACGGTAAGTTAAGAACGGGGTCGTGCGTTGGAAAACCCGGTTTATCTTTGAAACAAACCTGTACCGCAAAATAGTAATAAATACTTGACTCGACCTGGAAAAACATCTCCCGGATACATTTCTTGGCAACATTCTAATGAAATGATAAATGACATTACCCTGACATAACACCCATAAACCATTACTAGAAAAGGACAGCAACGATTTAAAGTGAGTGTGAAGAGCGTCTGTGGGGCGACATTTTACAAAAAGTCCCCCATTAAATTGAAACCTTTCTTAATCTTAATATTCATGCAAGCATACTTACAGACAGCTAGGGAGGATAAAAATAGTTTGTGAGCAAGACTAGATACAATCTTGACTATCGCTAAACAAATTATTCTCGATGAAATATAACGAGAGATAATGGAAAATAAACATGCTACTTCCTGTGGCAGTGCTTTGGTGGCTGTTGCACAGCACTACTGGTCTGTGTGATCATTACCCATAGAAATAAAAACGGGTTTATTTTAATTCCCGCGACAGTGCTGTGTAAATACAGCTGCAATGGAACCGATTCAGACTTCTATTCTCTACGCATTAACTCAACTGCAAAACACTGAGCTATGGCCAAGCTCGCCATTAATTAAACAGGAGGATAATGAGCCAGATCATTATGATGTCTCTCGCGCAGATAGGAGTGGAGTATAGCGTGATCTGTGGTCTAAAAGAAAAATCATGTTTTGCATGAGAACTGTCGCTCTGAAAGGCCTTCACGAGTCTGCTCACAGGTGCTGCTTTCATCTCTCCCTGATGCAGAGGCTCCATGAATAAGAACCATGCGGTTCATCGACTATTGCATCTCTACTTGTAATAAATCCGTCTATATGCGGTCCACATTGGGATCACATGGTTTATCTCTGCCCTGATGAAAAAAACCCCTAATCCTTAGGTTGAGAATAAGTGCAGTAAAGGTGTGAAAGCATTCATGCGCGCCATATTAATTATACATTTTTTTCTACTTCTCTGTTCTGTTTTATGTTTATATGGCAATGAGTTTTGGTTCATTAAATACAAGCCACAAACAACAATACCACAGCATACAGAATGGTTTCAGCAGACAGTCATCTATGGAGAAAATACAGCCAATACACAGACTGAATACAAAAGAATTAAATAACCGCAGATGAGTTTAGTAAACCAACAACAACAAAGCAATAATATTCATTCCTACCCACTGACCACGGCCTTGTGTAATCAGAGATCTAATACCCTCTGTGAAACAATCTTTCATTTTCAAAAGCAAACTTTCTTTTCCTTACTGTGTGTTCACATATACACAATGTAAAATCATAAAAATCTAGCGCTGGGCCCATTGCAGAGGGCTAACCAAAAGGTTACCGATTCAAAGTTTATAAATCCAATTAAACAAATAAAAATGTCACTCTTGTACAGCTACTTGGACCTTTGAAGTTACACTGTTTATTGAACTCGGCATTGGGACTAAACACATCTCAAAGTATATCTTTGGTACGTGTTTTGTCAATGAATAAGCCTTCCAGATGAAAGCTAATCAAAACTATGACTCAAAATATCCACTTGTGACTAGAAAGTGGTGCAAGGAAAAGAAGGGGAGGGTGGCATACCAAAAGATAATTATGCAAAGGAATATTTCCGACAATGTCAATGTGTGACAGGACAAATGCCAGAACAATTACTTGCCAATTTTATGCCTGGAAGTGAAAATAAACACTACCGTTGAGCATCGTCTGCGGCCCATCTACATAAAGAGCTTTTAGCTCCGTAAACAGTCAGTGAACCGTCCTTTTTCCAGTAAAGTCATTCCTCACAGAGATAAACAAACACCAATCTTTTGCATGAGTGCTACTTCTAATCCCATGCCGTTGTGGTACATCTCCCATAACTGGTGGTTTGCAGGATCACAATTATTTTTGGAATGAAACTATACCACACAAGTACATCGTAGAGACACAACCACAGATAAGTGATTGAAAACGACAGCATATTGTGCAGAGTGATGAACTAATTTGCTTCTCATCTTCTCTTTAGACTCTGACTGGCCTCTTCCGGAGCCCCTCTGCCCTATTTGGCTTTTCCTCGATGTGCTCTTCTCCACCGCATCCATCATGCACCTATGCGCCATTTCACTGGATCGCTACATTGCCATCAAGAAGCCAATCCAACACAGCCAGTACAAATCGAGAGCCAAAGCGATGGTGAAGATTGCACTGGTGTGGCTCATATCCATTTGTAAGCATAACAACTCAGATTTCCCTCAACTTTTACAACTCTGCAGGAGTCTTTACTTTGATTAGTCATTTCTCAGGAACAGTCGGATGTCTTGGCAGACCTGGTTAAAAGACAAAGTAATATTTGCCAGATGCAATAAAAGTAGATACTGTATAAAACAGCAATCTGCCAGCTGCAGTGTTTATGTGAAGGAGGTGGGGTGGTTGAGGGGATGGGACTGTATTCTCACACTTTATCAGTAACAGTGAATGAAGCCAGTCTTTAGGAGACAACCCAGTCAAAATTCATGAGCAACTGGAGTTTGACCAAAGGGCAATGTGCCTTGTGCATCCAAAGCAAATGAAATGTGTCCCTAGGTGAAAAAGTGCTTTGTTTTAATAATGTAAATCGTAGCTTCTGTCCATTATGCTTAACGCTAGAGTGTAAAAAATATGGCCGAATTCACTGAGGCATCACTGCTCAATGCTCTATGCCCAGTACTCGGTCCACTAAAAGCACTCTGTTTGCCTGGTGGATTTCATTTCATTTGAGCTTCATTTAACGACTAAAGCCAGAAGATCAGACAGAATGAAGTGAGCAGCACTTCAACTACAGTCAGAGTAAAAACTATTCTACTGTTGCTCGTATTAGGAAGGATCATAGCAAGCCATGGGTGATTAGTTTACTTGGTTTTTAAAATGCAAAAGGAAATCCTCCAATCAGAACATGCCTGGTAAAAACTGTGCTTTAATTAAACATGAATCTTTTGTGTATTTCTACGACTACCATCATACGTAGAATTAAAGTTTAACACAGGAATGTCTTTCCCTCAGATGAAAACCAAAAACTTCTGTAATTAGCATTGAAAAAATAAATAAATAATAATACTACAAAAAAAATAGAGCATTAATATTTGGAAATACTAACTGTCCTTCTCATTTTCCAGGTATTGCAATCCCAATTCCGATTAAGGGGCTTAAGAACCACCATCTTCCCAACAACGTCACCTTCAACAGTAACCACACATGCATGCTGAAAACAGACACCTTCCACAAGTTCATCATGTTTGGCTCCTTGGCGGCATTCTTCATCCCGCTGACCATCATGATGGTCATCTACCTGCTTACAGTCCAGGTGTTGCGCAAAAAGGTGTATTTGCTCAGGTCAAGGGTGACTCAGCGCTTTAGCTACCCGACAGTCTCCACAGTCTTTCAAAGGGAACAGGCTGCGACTCCACCTCAAGCAGAGCAACTTCACAATCTGGACAGCAGACTTCCCAGGATGCAAGAAAAAACATATGCGGATGCAACAAACTCTCCTACAAGAGATGAAATATCCTTTCGGAGAATGTCGACAATTGGCAAGAAGTCAATGCAGACTCTAAGCAATGAGCAGCGCGCCTCAAAGGTGCTCGGCATCGTCTTCCTCCTGTTCGTAGTCATGTGGTGCCCCTTTTTCATCACCAATATCACCTCTGTGCTATGCACCAGCTGTGATGTTCGTGTAATAGCCCGCCTCATGGAGATCTTTGTCTGGGTGGGTTACGTGTCATCGGGCATCAACCCGTTGGTCTACACCCTATTCAACAAAACTTTCAGGCAAGCGTTCACGCGTTACATGACCTGTAATTACAAAACCTCTGCTAGCCACGGTCCAGGAAGGCACCCGAGGGCATCAAACGCGGATCGGACCCGTACACGGATTTCATTCAGATCTTCCGTGGCAGAAAACTCTAAACTGTTCATGAAGCGTGGAATGAAGAACGGCATGGTTAGCTACCAAAGTCCACTGAGGAGCCGGCAAGAACCTGTACAGTCCTCCAGCGGTGTTTTGCTAGACACAATGCTTCTGACTGAATATGAAGGCGGTAAGCAGGAAGAACATGTTAGCTGTGTATAGAAATACCAGACAATTGAATAATAGGGAGCACTTTAAAATGGATCATATTTATGATCTGACCTTTTTTTTTTTTTAATCTCTTTAAAGATGACGGCTAGCCCCACAGCTAACATTCTGAATCTGCTGTTACTCTCAATTTGATTGACAAATAATTTAATGCCAGTGCTCACTGTAAACTAAAAGAAAAGGCAATATTATCAATTATGATCATTTCAGAAACACACGTCATGCATAAGTCAAACTCTACTGTTATATATGTGAATATATGGTCAACATATGTCTCACTGGGCCTTTAACACAGGCCAAATGAATAATGTGAATGCTCAAAGACAGCCAGACAGCACATAGCGTACCAGAAGAGAGTTTGGGTATTCAAACGTTATCAAACCTTGTGATGACCTGTAACAGGTACACTAGAACACAGGAGTACGTCCTCGTCTATGAAAAATCAAAAGTCGACAAACTTCTGGCCGCCAGACAAACATGTTAGGAATGAAGACATAATGATAACCTTTAAATTCTCTGTGCAGACATGCAATGTCTATGCTGATCCTTTCTCGTTGGGCTATTTGAATATGCTGTTAACCATCTCAGACCACATGCTTTTATATTTTGTTAAGACAAAAGACTCTACCTTTCAAATCTTTTCTGCAGCAGACACATGAAATACATTGCACTCTTGAAATTATACTTATTGCATCTGCTGGACCTTTGAGGAGCACTCTTGTATGTGTATTGCAGGCTGATGTTTTGACATGTTAGACGTTTTCAAAATAAATGACTGTAAAAGAACAAAATCCAGATAAAATATAAACCTCAATGTGTTCAACTAGATATTTTCTGTGTTGCTGTTCTGAAAGAAAACTGAACAAATAGTTTCTTTTACTGTCAATATCTACATTATTATGCTTCTTTATTTCAACAGTACGTAACTTTTTTTAAATCAGCAAATAGTAAATACCAGAATACTCATAACTCAGAAAACTGTGGGACAGTGTACTTAGCATTATATTCACAGTCCTTTTGTAGCAGTTTTGTAAGCCAGAATACAGAGGCCATAAAAATAAATAATAGTTTAAACAACATAAAAGAAACAGAGTTAATCAAATATAGAGATTTAGATAACACTCCACCAGCTTGGTATGAGAGTTTGGAGTGTGACCGAATCAGTCTCATTGTTAACAAACGTCCCTTTATAAGAATAGAGACTTAAGACAAAAGACGTTAAAGCGGACGTTTGTGTGTGCTGGTGTACATGTCGGGGAGTGGAGGGAGTTCTCCTTGAGCCATTAGGAAGTTGGAGAACTGACTTGTTCTGGTTGAGAAGTCTTTCTAAACACAGTGAAGATTTACACAAAGTTTATCTAGCGGCCAATTGATCACATAGCCTTGTTTGGGCTTAAAATGTACACCCTGATATTTGTTGATTGGCTGGGCGCTCTGTCGGACACAGCTCTGGTCTCCGAGTGATGAATCACTATAAATAGCTTGGGAAGAGAATGTGTGAGTTAGGGCTGGGCGGTATACCGGTTCAACCGGTATACCGGTTTCAATTTCCCGTATGATATGAATTTTTCATATACCGTCATACCAGTGCACAGCTGAAACAACTTCTGTTGCTCTTCAACAGGCAGCAAAATATATTTTTCGCTGCTAGGACTGCTACGGACAGAGCTAGTTGTCTTACCTGTATTGAGTGGGAACCCTAGTAGTCATGGTTTACTTTATAACTGTATAACAACAATTAACAACCCACAACTAATGCTCTTTAACAGGGCAAAACACCACAACTCAACAGTTTGTGACAGATAAACAATTTGTAGCACTAATAATTGTACATTTATAAAATTTCTCCGCCGAACTGCATGCTGGGTAAAGCTCGCTAACAGTCTGCTAACAGCTGGGAGAGGCTCTGTCACTCCAGTAACGTTACATTAAAGAACAGAAAAGAGCGATGCAGGATGAACAAAGACTGAACAATAAAAGGTATTTAGGTCAGACACATATGCAACGCTGATTACCATAATATGTGTGGTATTTGTTATAAATGTACATAGACGGTGATAAGAAGCTGCACATGTAGCGGCTTCTTCTTCTTCAAATTCCATTGGCGGATGGCAACCAACTTGCAGAGTGCATACCACCACCTACTGTACCAGAGTGTGCATTTTCGGGGTAACGTTTTCTTCACTGTTCAGATAGATAGATAGAGAGAGAAATAAACCTAAACAACACCTACTAAAACTAAATCCTACGGTCTAATCCCGTTTATTTCCATGGAGGGGCTTAGGACCCAGGGGAATGTAGGTGAAGAAAACAGGAAGTGACGGAACGGAAGACACGCCACACAAACGCTGGCCTGCCGTTTCTTTTCGGCGTTAATTAATTAATGCTTTAACACGGAAAAAAATACCGTGATATAAAAATACCGTGATATGCATTTTTGGTCATACCGCCCAGCCCTAGTGTGAGTGACAGTACGTCCAGCTTCCCCTGACACGGGAATACCGTCCATGAATACCAGGGAGTCATTGTAAATCCCACACAACAGTTCCATCTTAATTCTCCTATCACACCAGAGACAAGGTGTTCATATTCTACTACATCTCGAGTACCAAAACTAAAAAGGAGCAAAACAGAAGCAAGAATAATGAAAAACAAATGCTTCATTTTAAAAATACTACAAGGGGATTGCAATGGTTCACAAAAAAGCAGTACCGTGTCTCCAGTTTGCATAATGCTACTTCAAAAGAGAAAGTCCTCTGGTGCATGCGAGGAAAGGAGTGTTTAGAGCTCAAGTAAATAAGTCGGGTCCTTACCTGAACAAGATGAAGCCAATGGACTCGACGGCAGCCCTTCGGACATCATCATTCACGTCACTCACCTTAAGTAAGAGAATGAAAGAACTCAAGTAACCAAAGATGATACTGAGACTCATCAAATCCTGCAATTAACTAGCTAACTTTAATAATGTAGCTCCCTTTCAGTTCACGGTAAAGAAATATGCTCCTCTATCACACCATCTAATAACTTCAGCTTGTATAAGGTGCCACCTACAGGACAACAAGTTTTCCACACCCCAGAAGTATGTTGCATTTGCACTGAAAGCCCAATGAATGGCATGTACATTAATTCACTTTAAAGTCATAACCCTATGTTTTTTCACGTTTAAGTTACGTGTTGCATCGTTAACCTTACAGTGAATTCAGGCACAAACAGGAAACCCCCGATGTGCTATGTTAAAGCTGAATCACATTAGAGCCTAGTATGGATTATATAAACAATCATAATCACCATATTAAAGTGATTTCAATCAAGCTGCCAGCCACAGTCGTGCAGCCCTGGCTTTTGGCATCGCTTCACAGCCAAAATGATAAACCAGTCTTCTACTCTGTGAAATAATTTGTTACTTACTGCGACATGTAGCAGGCGTCGGATGGCCTTGTTGTTACCAGAGCCGCAGTAGGCCATGCCCACTGTGTACATTCCAGAGCGCCGCAGGATGGGGTCCTGTCATGGATAATGAAGGAAAGCAGAGCTTTGAGACTTTGTGGATGGAGTCACAACTACGATCAACAAAGTTTGAGTCATTATGCACATCTAGCCGGTATAGAAGGAGTCTTGGCACAACGTTAAGAGGAATAGCCTCCCTGTGTTGCATTAGGACAATAAATGATCCCAGACATGCTTTCTGGTGGCTTTTCGGCCTTACCTTGTCTCTACAGAGGCTTTCAATGAGGGTATCCGCCTCCTCCATGCGTCCGTACATGACCATAGCAATTCCCACAGCCAGACCGCGCAAGATCTTCTCGTGCTGCGTCTCCTGAGCGTAGCCCACCATGTCCTCGATGGCCTGGGCTGACTTGGAGCCCAGCATGACCAGACCCAGGGCCAGGCCTGCAGCTTCACCTGAGGGGTTACACGATATTGTCAGCATGGCTTGTTCATCAACATACCTTTACTAGTGTACACAACTAAATGATATTTAACAGTACTGCATATCAGAGACATTGGCCGATTAACATTCATACAGTAGTAGACACTTTTCTCTATATTTGTTTAGCCAAATCTGAATAATAATACTAAAGATTTTATGTTTAGTAAGCAGAGTGGTCAGGACCAAAAACTGGTTCGCCCCCCCTGCATTTCAAAAATGTATTTTGTCCGAGGCTGACGCACCAGTAACAGCATCATCCTGGTACAGGTTGGACTTGAGAAGGTCGTAAACATCCTGTCTGGCTGTTCCCAACGCTGCCAAGCCAAGACCGAGGGCGCCACCATGACGGACAATCTGTGAAACAGAAGAAGAAAAACAGACCATGAGAGGTGGAACACTGAAACATAAATGAAGCGCCTGAAACAGTGACTTAAACTAGCGGCTGGTCTCAGCTACAAACTTATAGCTGAGGCTTTTTGATCCTAAAGCATTATACTTTTCAGAGACAAAATGTCTCATTTGATGACTCAAAAAACATGTTTCCCCTCTTTCAGCAATCATTTTGTTAGTAACATTCTCGTATATAATTGAAAAAGAACCAGCATTCAAAGTAAACGTCAAAAAAAAAAAAACTAACATCATTGCTGGCGTTCTTGAGCTGACTGAGCAGGTAGTCTATGATGTCTCCACCATGGTTGGCATGAATGAGTCCCAGAGCATACAAGCCTCCTCCCTCCTGGTAAGCCGAGCCAGGGGAGGTGTCTTTGGGCAAGTAGGTCGCCATTAACTGGAGAGCCTCCTTCTCGTGGCCCTGAAAAACACAGTATGTTATGTTCAAATTTAAATCCAGAATTGAATTCAGTATTTTTTTTTAATTTGCTGTAGATTATCATCATAGCTTTACCTTGTGGATGACACCCAGACTTGCTGTGGCTGTGAACTTTGCCCAGTTGGTGGCTCTTGCAAGCCATTCCAAGTTTTCTCTACACGGTCAAACAAAGTCATTGGTCAAATGTCCCTTTGAGTATGTATGTTTCTCTACATCTATGAAATATACAGTTCAGTTCTGCTAGCACAATCACCTGAGGAACTGGTCACTTGTGGTTCCCGTATGCATGAAGGAGTTGGCTATTACTGTAGCTGTGTGACACACCGAATTTCGAACTGCATCCTGGAGTGACGGAGAAAAAAATAAATAAAAAGTCAGGAGGAAGCTGTAGTTTGTCGGACCATTTAAACAATAGCTTATTTATTTGTGTTCTCTAAGCCAGTCATCTTGTTGCTAGCCTACATTACCTTTGTGTTTTTGAGGATCATTAGATCTGTGTTGTTATTTCGGATTAGGAACTGCAAGTGCAGCTCGATGGCCATCTCCCCGCTAAGGATTTTGATCATCTTGGCATTCTGGTCTTTGGGCTCATCTTTCTACAGTAACACAGAGAAGCAATACGATGAGTCGTCAACCAAACCAAAGCAAAGTAGCTCTATTTAGACACAGAAAAGTTACCAGCAACTGGTATGAAAAGAGTGCTACAGCACATAACGACCCAAAGAGCGTACCGTTTCTACTGGCTTTCCAGCAGGGGAGCTGCCCGCCTTTTCATCTGTCTCCATTGCATCACTGTAACACACACACACAACACAAAAAAAACAAAAAACTTTTCGTCAGTGTTGAATCATTTGATCATAAGTAAAGTAATTTGACTCAAATGAGCCGGTGTACAGTTTAATTCACTCTCTCATGTTAACTTCTTTAGTTAGGTTATTTTCAGCAGGTATAAAACAGATGCCATGCTTATAAATGCTGAAGTTTTGGTTACTTTCCTAGCAGGTAAGTATTTTCTAGAGTTTAAATCAAAACCGTAAGAAGTGAAAAATCCCTGAGCCTTTGTGAACATGTCACCGTGCTTCAGCCCAGGTATGAGTGTGTCCTCGTTGTGTTTCCATGCCCACCTGTCTTTGTCTGGTGTGGGCACTGTGCCCGTATTTGTGGAGCCGGGGACTGAAGGGATAGGTGTTCCAACTGTGTGCAAGTTCTGGATGACGGAGGAGAGGAACTGCTGGCTGGCGCTCTCGTACAGATCAAAGCAGATCTGATAGGCCATCAGCAGGTTGTCCTCCTTCACTAGCTTCTCCAGGATGTCACTCACAGCCTGCGGGTCATCCAGGAAGATCAGGCACTAGAGAGGTGAGGAGAAAAGATGATTAGAGGGGGATTAGGTTCAGACTCCCTTTTTGGGAAATCTAATTCCATGAAAGTAGAGAAATGCATTTAAAGCAGTATAAAATATTGCCTCCAATTGGAGCACATCAATAGCTGTAGGTATGACTCAGCACCAATACTAGTTAGCTTAAGCAAAGATATAAGATGCCACCTTGAGTATAAAGCTGAACTCATGTTAAACTACACTTAGTTGCGGATTTATTAGGAATAATTCCAGAACTGTTTTATTAGACTGCATTAGTTTTAGGGTTAGGACAACCGAGTGTATATTGTAGGAGCATCAGCAGAGTAAATACCCAAACCCACATTAAACATTACAAGAAATCAAAGTATTACATTATTTTAAAAGTAGAAAGCATAATTGAACATGTTAAAATGTCCTGACAACTTATTTGGGCTGAATGACCAAAAATAAAAATAGTGATAGTTACTCATTTAAAAAAACACAAAGAAACTGTTCTGAAAGCATCTTTACAAATCAGGGTTTGTATTGGATTAACTCAGTCAATCAAAGATCTTATACTAAATAGTGAGTGAACAGAAACTATTAGTCACATTAGTTACCAATCTTTTTATGTAGTTATCACACTGAGAAGTTGGTCAGGGAAATGATGCATAATGTGCATTTGAGGATCTGATTGTTACCTGACAGACATTGATGAAATCAGGCTTCTCCAAGTTCATGTAGAGCTTGACGAGCACCCGCAGCACCTCGTTGCGGAACTTCTTGTTCTGCATCAGGGACATGCAAACCTTCAGGCTGTAGGCAAGGAGGCCACTCACATCACTCTGCATGACAAGAGAAGCAAAACAAAAATCATTAACCTGTTTAATGAAAAGGAAGAAATGTACAATCAACAGCAGTGATCAAAATCACCATCCTGTACTGTGAAATATGGCGATGTCGCTGTGACAAACACTTACTGTATTTGAACGAAGTGACTCTCATTATCTCCATCAACATTTTGGGGCATTATCATGCAAAGTCTGCTAGACTCTTGGACTTAGGGCTATCCTGGTGAGCGTTAAAGCTAACAGTAGGTATTCCTAAACTATCTCAAATCAGCTGTGAGGGACTTACTGATTCCAAGATGGTCTTCTCAAACATGTCAAGTCGCCTGGTCTCTAGGGCGATGCCAATGGCCTGCTTGTACTTGTGGTCATCGAGGCAACGCAGGAACATTTTGTTGACAATGCCCTCAAGGCGGGGGTCAATGCTTTTCTTCTCCTCATCCTCTGGCATCTCTGCATTCCCCACCCGCAGCTTGGTGTAGTGGTCGATGCATTTGGCTAGCAGCAAACAAAAAACAGAGGGCCTCCATTTTACTCCCGAATTAAATGAAGCAGTTAAAGTCAAAATCTTATTCCGTATGTCATTCATTGGCTTTTCCTACCAGAAAGCTTGAGGTTTGTGAGCTGGAAGTAAAAAAGGTGTTTTTTTTCCCCGTTTATGTTATTTACTTCACACTGCCTTTAGTATGAGGGTTACAGCAGTATCCAAACAACAGGAATGGCAGTTGAGTAAATGATGATGCGTTTCTGTTTGATTACTCACCAATGATGGTCTCCACATATTCTGAATCATCTGTGACTTTGAAGAGATCTCCAGCACCGAGAGCATAGTTCAGAGACTCCTCAAAGGCTCCGAGGTGGTAGAAAACCTTAGAGGCCACCAGGGCAGCAAACGATCTGCTCCGAAACGTCTCATCCTCATACAGGACCTCGCTGGGAGAAGACAACAGATGGTTACATAACACTGAAAATCTTAACCAAAAAGAGATCTTTTTGTATTAACTATTAAATGTAAATGATCACTTCTAAATTATATTTCTCTGTCCCGCAGAGCAGTTTTTACCAGCAAACCAAATCACGAAGGATGCCGAGATCTGCTTCATAAGCACTGAAAGAATATTCAGTAAACTACTGGTGACTATGTGGAACATTGCACCCTGTGCATTCAGTGTGTCAAGATAGATTTCTAGATATTTCTCCCAACTGAAGACATAGAAAGAATAAAACTAAAGAGTTGAAATTATTGCTTCCTGTTGTAACATTCTTATGTCAGATAGGGTTATAGTGTCCATTGCTTGTCAATAGTAATACTTACATTTTATCGACAGATCCTGAAATCTCAGCCCAGAAATCATTCACAATGGCATCTAGCTTCTGCAGAGCAAACTCCTGCAATGGGAAAGAGACATGTTGCTGTGTTAACCTTTTTCTTTCTGACCCAACATGCATTGGAAGTCAAACCAATGAATGCATGTGGAGGAGAGACAGACCAATGACAGTCTTTATTAGCCATGATGCGGTATGTGCCTCCTTTTGGGTACATAAAGAACAAGATGCCACACTCCAAACATCTAAAGAAACCTCCAGGAGCCACTCTTTAATCTGATATACTGTACATTAATACATTTTAATTAGTTTGAGAGCGTTATTAATCGCTCTTTGTGAGACCTCCCATGGAGACCTCCCATCCTCGTATGTAATCTCTTTACTTCTGTTTGACAAGATATGATCTGACATTAGATCATCACTATATGGGAGGTTGCCACCTTCAGGCACTCTCAAACCAGAGCTTACCTTGAGTTGTGGCTCCTCCTCATCAAGGAGGGAAATAATTCCAGCTAGAAAAGGAGAGAAACAAAAACTATTAGTACATTATTAGGTTCAAATACAGTATGTGTCTATAATCATAACTTGTCAGGATTTGATCAAAAGTTTAATATTATAATAGTATAATAATTCTTTGAGAATTATTTTGAAGATGAAAAACGTTCCTCTATATAAAAACTAACATCTTATCAAGGCTGTAGAGCTAAGATCATGTACAGTGCAATGCTACTGATGACTTGACTGTTAGCATCGACGTTACGATAACTTATTGATAATTACTGTATTTAAAACAGCCTTGCAGTAATCAAAACCGTCACCTAGATTTAGCAAAGTCACATTTCAAGGTGTTCTTCCCTCCTGATGGTGGGTTTATAAGCTATTGCCGGTTAACGACTGACCGACAACTGCTACATTAGCCGTGTGACTCAGCTAAATCAATGGCGGCTAGCTACAGTTGCAGCTAGCAAAATAAAAGCACCTTTTATGACTTACCGGCAGATGTTATCATGATTGGCTCTTTATTCCCTCCTCAGCCCCACGATCCTTGTTCAACAGTGGAATTCCGTGCGCTTTTTCGGAGAGATAATGAAAAGAAAAGATTTGTCGCATCTGAAAATTCACAACAGTGGGGACAATCGCAGACTCTGCTACCTTCTTTTTGTCCAATGCCGCAAGTCCCCTTCCAGAGGACCTCAGTGTTGGCTGGCCTCTTTTACGCCTGATTAAAACGCAGACATATAATATTATTAATATAATATCCTCCTGGGTCTGATCAATACATAGGACTCCAAGAATATAGAATACTATCTTACAATTGTCAATCGCACTTAAAAAAAATTATGGAGATATAGTAGTAGAAAATATTTGATTTATGGACTGGCTTTTTCAAAGGGGGTCTATCAGTTGGCTCTATCAGTTGCACGGAAGGCTGTAGCGATGACTGTTGTTGGTAACAGGATGGGAATTGTAATGAATGTGATGGAGACGCTTCTGCGAGTGATGCCTCACTGCATGCAGTATTCAGAAGATAGACAGATCTTGTTTGGGGAAGTGGCCAAGTTGAGAGTGGAGACATTTGCGCTATACGCGACTTGTCTGCCATAAAATCAACATAGTAGAAGAGAAGTAGGTGGTCCATCGTGAATCTAGGTTCTCTTTATACATGGATCCATGACCTACATCCATGATAGGTTTACAGAAATCAAAGGTACAATGTGGCTGTCATTTCAGTAATAATATATAAATATGACAGTACAGTGTTAATTAAGGAATTGATACTGAGTTTTCAACCAAATTTCCACACACGTCTAAAAAAATTGACAGTAAATGTCCATATAAAGAGAGCTGCACACTCACAAAAGCTTATATGTGTTTATTTACAAATGAATATCCTACATAAATACATAAAATGTGAAAAGTAGTTTCATCCACTTCTATTGCAGATAATGCTTTTGTCATTAGCAATCATCTAAGGCACATCATTCTAATAAATGAACATGAAAAAGGAGAAAAGATTCACAGTATTTCATCATCGCTGGATTGACATTCTGAGGCACCTCAGCGGGAAAAAGAAGCTGCTTGGTCTCTATTAATGAAGACTCACTTAAGACCCTTATTATGACTGTTGATGTATCTTCCAAATAACATTCAATAAGCCTTTTGAAACCACTGGAGTTCTAAGAACCAGTTGGCAATCCAGCCCTGTTCTATGCATCATGTTAATGGTGTAGGCCTAATTATGTCATGAGCTTTTGCTTTAAACTATCCATACTGTGGTCTCAACATGTACTAAAATAACAGACAAATCTCTCTGTAGGTCTCAAAAGTGGTGTTAAATGATGCAATACAGTTCATATGACTGAATAAGAGTCAGCCCAAACATACACATTAAATACATTTTAGCATTGTGCATCAGAGACGATGTGTAAATCAGCAGGACGGATTTGACAACAATCATGATAGCTCAGCAGTGGGATTATTGAGCACTATGAAGAAACACTGTAACATGTAGTAAGGCTCTATCAGCGTGAGGCTAACCCTTTCTTCACAGTTAAAACAGGATTGTCTGCAGGCCATGTGTCATGACATCAGCCGTCTCCTCCAGCTGACTCTCCATTCACATGAGGTCCAGCAGACAACGAGCTGATTTTCAGAGGGATGCCTTCCTCTTTACTTCCAGTGTCACCTGAAAAGCAAACATGAAAACATTGTTACTGAAATCTATATGATACAATTTGGCTGCAGTGGAAGTTTAAGTATATATATGACAGTGTTAGTGAGAGCAAAAATATTTCTTATATTTTTGAAAAAGGTTAGACAGTGTTTTACTGAAACTCAAAATACTTTTGTTTTTTTGATCCTCACTGCATAAAATCTGATCCAAAGACAAGCCCATGAAGAGTAAATGTGCTAATGTCTTTGGTTAGCTGTTGGCCACGTGACAAACTGGCAACCTGTAGCTATGCCTTTTGCCCATGTAGTGCTTTGGGTTAGGCTACAGTCCACTGCATCCCTGAACTAAGTTAGTGTATAATTTGGATGAAGAAAAGACGAGTTGAAAGAATCCTGTGGAAATGGAAATGTCTTCATCGCTCAGTCTAACTGAACTTTGGAATGATACTGCTACCTCTTTGCCTGTCGGTTGAGGAGTTGGTGGCCTGGCCTCTTCTCCGAGCCCAGAACAAACATTGGAATGGCCAGAAAAGCTGGTTCCCTCTATCCCCGGTATTATCTGAAAGGCAACAATGAGTGTTTTACAATTTGGCAGCTTATCTAAGGGTCCGATTGTTTCATGAATGCTCCTTTTGTTCCCGGGCCTTTGCAGCCATGCCTGGGAAGAAAAATGTGAATCTCGTGGATTGACCTACATAGTGGAGTGCACTAACACAAATCACTACAGTGTTTGCCAACTATTCTCACACTGCAGTGCTCATTACTGAGCTTACAATGATCTTATCATAGGTAAATGTGTCTACTATAATATCAATACCTATCATATTCATTTAGCCAATTCTATGTTCATTCTAATTTAATCAGTAGTAATTATGTAAATGAGTTGTAGGCTTGTGATATATCTGTACAGTAGTCTTCCCTTTAATGTGCTTTTAAACAAGTCAAAATCTATAGTTCTTAATTTTGGCAATCAAATATTTTATGCTTCATCAAATCTGCATGGTGGCCTGGTTATTAAACACATCACGGTTCAAACTCCAAGTTGACAGATCTACGCTGCTGACATGTGCTTGAGCAAACGAGATAAAAGGAGTTACATTATAGTAAAGCCTACACACTTGCAGGAGGCATATATTGTCTGCAGTGGATTGATACGCGTAAAACTCAAAAGAACGTGGATGATGTATGTTATTACACCTGCTGTTTGAGATGAGTATATAACTTTGCAGGCGTTTTTCTTGATGCTGAGCATTTTGGCCTCTGTCTTCGGGATGAAACTGCCGACCCATACAGTCTCTGGTGACTGTTTGTGGAACACTGAGCGGATCAGGCGCTCTAGCAGTTGCGCACACTGGTGAGTCTCGGCGCTCTCCTCTCTAGTGCGTATTAATCCAATCAGAGCTGGTCGGGCGTTTCTGGCACGTTTCGTGCGCGCCTTTACGTCCTTCAGTGTCTCTTTTAAGCACAGTTCGTTGGATTGTTTGCTGATAAATGTCTGTCTGAAGATGAATATGATGACAGGAGAGTCTATGGTTCGCTTTCGGCTGTAAATGTTCGCCCTCCTTGTTGCTGTTCTCTGAGCGTTGCCACCGAGCGTTGGCTTCTTCACCTTGTCCCCGTCCTCTTCCCCCGGACATGCTCTCAAATCCAAATCCTTGGGCCTCGCTATTAAAGGCATGTCATTGCTTTTAACACCCTCTGGCTTGCCGCAAATGGGGTTCACACTGGAAGTCTCTCCGTGACTGTTTAACGGAGCGGGTTGAGTCTGTCCATTGTTGTTCGCCGGGCTGCTGTTGGCGAACATTTCACGGATGAACTCCTGCAATATTCCAGCGTCATCCGCGTCGACCTCTTTACTTGTACAGGTATCGCTCACCAAATAAATCCGCTCTTTACCTCCGATCAAAGATATAATCTTCTGAAACTCCCTCTCCTCCTCGGGCAGCGTGGGCTCAAGGAAGGCTGCCATCCTTGCGCAAATACGTCTGCGCGGATCCGTTTTATTTACCACGAGCTGTCAAGCCAGTCACACCACCCTCTTAAAGAAAACCTCCCCAACGGTCACCAGGAAGGAGGTCGGGCATAGAGACGCAGCGTCGATGTCTATTGGCTGGTCCATTTGGTGGGCGGGGCCAACAGTCGTGACTATATATACATCGACTTGTTTCAAGATAATTAATTTAAACTTTATTGGATGACTAAACTAAATATAAAACTTTGTTTGAAAAGTTGTTTCATATATATATATATATATATTTCACACACAATAAAATAAATATTCAGGAAAGCGGGATACCTGGAAAAACAGAATATACTCATAGCAACGAGCCACAAAAGCCTACAAAAGATTAATTATATCTTTTTTGGATCCTTTTTTTATGAAATATTAAACGTATACTTCTATAATGAAGCATCAAAATCTAGACTGCTTGTTTGTTTATGTTTGGGGCGACAGAAAACAAAAAGTAAAAAAAGGTCAAAAATTAAAAGGTGTCAAGATGTTTAAAGAGCAAGAAATGTATCAGCGATAGGCGTAGTATATTAACACCATCACACATTAAAAAAGTATGTAGAATATCAACAAACAACTTTAATGGATGACTAAACTAAACACAAAATAGATTTTAGATGATGAAATCAGGGCGCGGAGGTCACTCTCTTTATTCCCACTATTCTAATTGAAAAGAGTCCTGCCTTCCTTCCAATGTTGTAGATTCCTGGCTTTTCATAGAACAGAAGAAACAAAGCGAGAACAGTCATAAGCACTAACTTCAGCATTTTCAATTAGCAGTCAACTTTGACTTCTTTGTAAGATCAAAAATGCCTTTCACCCTTAAACCCCCACTACATCAGCAGGCTGAGCTCTTGAGACTCTAATCCTCTAATCCACCGTCTTTAATTACAATCTGCTGTTTGTCTGATTTTCCACTGAGTTCATGAATTGAAATTCAATGACTTCAAAATTAAATGACTTCATCTACTCAGCCTGTGTGGGATTGACTCATTGTTTACTTAGGAATAAATGATGAAACCATAAAATCGGATCAAAGCCAACACAGAGGTTTGGGCCTTTGGCCTTTAGACTTGCTGAACTTTGATTAGCTGGGCGTTGTGTTTGTTGTTTGGCTTTTCTTCAAACAGTATCTCATGTCATTAGCCTACAGTCCAACTGACTGACGGGGGTTACTGCTTCGCTTCTTAACTGTTGATATTCTTTTTAATCTTTACTAATAACGACGTAACTCTGTACAATCCCTCCAAACTACATACACACACATTGTTTTACAACAAGGGAAAGCTGTATAGCAGCTCTCTCTGAAATCATAATACTTTTTACATTTTTAAACGTTTTAAAGAACACAATTCCCATTTCTATGCATTTCAAGTTATTTAAGTGTGTTAGATAACTTACTGACCTCTTTGTTCAGGTGAAGGAGGAGCTGAGGGTCAAGAAGCTCACTTGGACCGGTGAGAGAGACACGGAGAGCTAAGCGAACTGCAAAACAAAAAGAGAAGTTCCCAATGAATTGCTTTATAGTGATAATATAAAATCGAGCTTTGGTGAAATTGTCAATCGTCAATTGACATCAATTGAAATGTGCCAAAACAATGACACAAGCGTATGTATTCAGACCTGGGCTAAATAATTGTTGCAATCTGGGATATATTGGACTGACTGGTATATTGGTGATTTTGGTCATTAATCAAATATCAGATATCAACCAGTTATTTTGTCTCTGGTAGGCTGGAGGATGTTCACCATTTCACTATTTCTAAAAAAATCGAATTCTTCAGTAATTTGACCAGTAAGATTAATTAATTTCTGAAAAGTAAATAAATTCATCTTTAACTTGGTAATACTGTACATCCCAGATTTTTCCAAGTCAGACCACATTTCATACTCAGCAATACAAAGTCCTTTCCATTATGAATAAATCACAAGCATATGCAAGAAAGAAAAAGGAAAATGATGAAGGTTTTTAGTGACCAATGATGGAGGGATGTGTGAGCTGTGGTAAAGCTCTCAATGGCTGACTATACTGCTTCTGTTCTCTTTATGGTCACAGTTGCTATCTTTAAGTGTCTGCACCTGTTCAACAACATTTCTCTCTATCTGGCTGGTTTAATAAAGAATACAAAATCCCTCAAGCATCACATCTTTTTTCATGCTTTTGCTGCCATCTTGTGGTTGAAAATGGTGCACCGTCTATCTCACCACCAATGGCTTTACAGCTGTAGTGCAGTGTTTCGACCTAGAGTGGACTGTTAAAGTGCTTTCGATTCGGGGAATTTCTCTAACAAGTGCGGCTTTTATTTAAACACTGCTTGAGCTGATAAGACTCACTGCCTTTCTCAAACGAATACAAGTTTTAAATTAGACACATACTGGTGCAGAATGACCTTTTTAAATGCTAAATATTGCTGATGTTTTTGCTCTGTACCCATCTGACACTGGAGCAAAGGGAAACAAACACGACAACGTATTTGCTGAAAGTACTCCGTCCAGGTCAACTTGTCTTCAGTTGACCGATAACATTTTTTAAAATTTCATCATGCTGTTTTGAGTTGAGTGAAGAGGTTTGGTAAAGTCTCGCAACCTGTGATTTTCTTGTCTGACACCAGATCTTTAGGAGAAGAAAGATGAGACGCGGTCAGAAACTCTGGATGCAAAACTGATTTGTCAGGGAGAGCTGCTTCTTCTTCTTCTGACATTGTTTTGACATGTTGACGTCATGTGGAGTCTGTAGGAGTGGTTGATCCTCAGATGACCTGGAGGCGGCTCCTCTACCCGACCTAGACGCCCCCTGAGAACCTGAGACATTTTGTTTGGTAAAGGTTAAACCAACAGAATACCATTGCAGCATCTCTGATCCTATTAGTTTTCATTGTTCATTGTAAACTTGCATGTTTGAAACATTAGAGATTTGAATTCGAAACTTCCGATGAGAAAAAAGCAACACACTGATAAGAAGAATATAGCAGTGAAGGTACTTACGGATACAGTACGCAGCTTTGAATAAACAATGCCTGTCTTACAAATAAACGTGGATATTGTGATGTTCATTGCAGTTCAAGAATTTCAGTGCCATAAAATTAACTTTTCCCACTTTTCTATATCCCAACTTGTGTGCTACCACTTCATTTTGTGCTCTCCATTTCCAAGAACAACTTTCTTTTAAAAGAGAGATAACTTGTTCCATGTGAGTCAACGCTGTGTTTGGCCATAGATAGCTTGGCATTAATTGGACTGTTGCGCTCGCTTTTGCAAAACACAACTTGTCTTGTTTGACCTAGAAATATATATAAATTACAAATGGCTGTTTTCTCTGTAACACTTCATGGTCATCACTTTTAGAAACAGTTTTCTTACATTATTGTCAAATATGGACAATGCAAATTACATTTAACTGTAGAATGACAATAATTGTTCTGGTGTAATCGTAGAAAGTCAATATGACACACAACGCTGTCAAACAGCACAAAAAGTTTTAAAATTGTGTAAATAGCTTACCAACACATATTGTTCCAAGAAGCAACAAGAAAAGCAAGTTACCAATACCAACTAAGGCCCACCTTTTGAACTGCAGCGCCACGAAACAAGCTGTCCTCTTTGTCATGGTGAGTAAAAAGGTAAATGCAGCATTGGAGAAGTTGAAGGAACATTAGAATGCCCTAGTTTTAAACACACAGTGACCAGACCTGGGATAGTAGGTATTACATTTCAGCCAGGTTTGGTCTCTTCACAAAGGCTGTAAGATTGGGGAGTGTTGGTCCCATGTGGGAGAAATACTAAGGAACCGGTTTTAACCGACATATAATCAGCAAGAGAGCTGCTGTACAACAAAACTATATACTTACTCAACTAGACAGGTAGACAACCAGAGAGAAAGGGGGAAATAAAGTCGGTATAGAGTGGGTAATAAAGACCAATACTCATACATCAAGAATATATACATTATTATCTGCAATAGACTGTTATTGACAGGAAACAGAACAGATTGACTGAAACAGAAATACAAACAAATACACCAAAAAAAAGAAGATGAAAGCTTAAACCATGACTTTTTGTCCCAGTTCTCAGTCAGGTGGCCCATATGTTATTATTCGGTACTGGAACTGACACTTGTCAACACATTTACTTGTTGACAATTGGAAGTAGTAAAAGTTCCGATTTGACCTACTGTCCATGATATGAACCTCTGTGGACTGATGCATTATGCATGTGTGTGAGAGAGGGAGCCTTTAGCCTGTCCCATCCCAGTGCTGTGTGATTGGGCCAGCGCTGTCTTAGATCAGACTGTGCTCCTCTGTTGCTCTTCAACACCTTATTATGTTTCCCACTTTTTGCCATGGACACACACACGCATAGTGTAGATAAAAGGAATCAGTGTGGGGAGGGGCTTGTTAAAATGTTGAGGGGATGCCATTATTGTCAGCAGGCAACATGAGAATAGAATGATCTATGTACTGGATATATTGTTTAAAATGGTGATTGCTGCAACAGATCATCTGCACTGCTCTCCTTCATGTCACGTTACATACTGGATGTACGGAATTGCTTACACATGCACGCAATTATCAAGTTCTTCCACAAGAGGGCACTTTAGGAGCCTATCAGAAGAATTATGGAGAGAGTGTATTCCTGGAAACTTTGTGATAACTTGACAGTCTGCTAATGTGTTCCGAATGCAACATTTAAATGTGCTGTTAGATTAAGCTACAGTGAGGTTAACAGCTGTTCATTTGACACTTTACACTTTTACTCCTGTGGATTCCCACACAGGATTCCTACCTTTACACCTTTGTGAATCAGTTTTCTTTAATAACGTTGGTCTAACTCATGTTTATGAAATCCCTTTCTGATTTGTAATCACGATCACTGAATTTGTTGTCCAATACTGCTTTCACAGTTTCACAATTGCTACTAGTAAAAACCTCAAAGGCTCACTTGTGTGCAACTATACATAACGGGGGCAGAAAACTGACTGAATCTAATGCTTCAACATTTTTTAAATTATGAAA